TGTGTGTGTCTGTGTGTGTCTGTGTGTGTCTGTGTCCTCCCTTTTCAGTGTCTTCCTCTTCTCAGTCATCCCAGGTCACCTGTATGGCTCATTTCCTTAAGCATGTCGCTAAAAGGACAATTGAAAGTATCAGTGCCTACAAAATATTCTTTGACACAGGAACTTAACTCCTCTGTGAGACTCTCTGAATCCATCTCTTCCTTACATGTGTCTGTTGTAAGTAATCACAGAGGTTCTGTGACGAGGACACATATATTAAAAATAAAAAATGAGGTCATACTTTTTCACATGATGGCAACTCTAATTTGGCCACTTTTTTAACATTGTGAACACTGTTAGAGCATGCTGCAGACTCTGATAAACCAGGGCCTAAGTCTACAGCCTTAAGACCGATACAATGTGTTTAAAGCAATGTGTTTAAAGCAAAGACTGTGATAAAATCATCTTATTTTAAAATGCCAACAGTGATGAAAATAAAACATGGTTTTGAGTGTTCCCTTTTCTGTTGTGTTAGCTGCCTTAAAGTGAAAGAGTAGCTCAGGGTGCCCTGAGACTTGTTAATAGCAGTCCCTTCCCCATAACCTCAGCAGTCGGGGAAGGGACTGTTTCCAGCTGGGTGGCACATCCACCAGCAAGTTCTCTACTCTCAACAAGGTGAAAAGCGGAGTGAATCTGTGGCTGACAGCTCCTTCTAATACCTTTGACTGGTGGTTTGCCATGTGGTTTTTGGCATATAACTTGGAAGGAGTTCAAAGATTTGAATGACATTATAACACAATTCCTTCCAAGATTATATTTGCATGAGTAAAGCTTCCCGATGCTTAAATGGATTATTAGAAATGGGCGTGGGTGAGCCATGTCTCCTTCCACTCGTATAAGTAATCCTATCAACAAACAGTGAAGCACATTGAGAAAATAGCCATCTCATTGAGAGATGCACTGTAGTAACTGCTCTTAAGTTAATTTCTAGTCAAACGTTTACTATGGATGTGGTGTGATCAATTACATTCATAAAAATTATAATTTAAACGATATGAGAGAATTTGAAAAATAACTTAGGGACTCAGGTCACAGAAGAAAGTTTTAAATTTTAAGGCTGCTTATTAATAATTCTTTTGGTGCAGAGCAGTAGTTAGTGGTAATCAATAAAACACACGTAAGCATAAAAATCACTGATAAAATTTTGGAGGGGATGTGCAATGGAAATAAATGTTGAAGGATGAAAAGGAATGAAAAACTTGATAAAGAGTCTTGAAGATGTGAGTGCTGAGAATTATGTCATTTACAATCAACTAAATTAGGAAATAAATTACTCACAACCACTTAAAACTCTGAGTTTAAAAGACGTTGACTTTAAAGTGGAGAAGATGTAGGTCACGTGCCAACTGACTCAACAGCAGCATCTTCTAATGGTATCAGAGGCCCAGACAGGTACCCATGGAGAGAGGGCCGGTGGTTCTGGCACCTCTGATGACTTTTGCTAGGTGGGCTGTGGAGTCCAACTTGGGCAATGTTTAAAAGCATTTTCTGTGAGAGTTGGTAGTAAGCACAGAAACAAAAATTTGATTTACGTGCAGGGTCCATTTAACTAGGCGACTAGACATGTGGTTCCAGATGTATGGACAGCGGGGTGATTAAGAGTAAGTGACGCATGGTAATAGACCTTCTACACCCTGCAGAACCTTCTGGAATCCCAGGTGTTGTGGTCAAAGACCTGCAGGGGAGCATCGGACTGCTAGCTGGTCTCACACCTCACTCTCTCTCTCTTCTCTCTCTCCCTTGCCCCTTCTCAGTCGTTGCTGAGCATCCCAGGCTCACCCTTCCTCTCCCGCCACAACAGCAAAAGCAGCATCTTCAGCTTCCGGGGCCCTGGGAGGTTCCGAGACCCCGGCTCTGAGAACGAGTTTGCAGACGACGAGCACAGCACGGTGGAGGAGAGCGAGGGCCGGCGCGATTCGCTCTTCATCCCGATCCGGGCCCGCGAGCGCCGGAGCAGCTACAGCGGCTACAGCGGCTACAGCCAGTGCAGCCGCTCATCGCGCATCTTCCCCAGCCTGCGGCGCAGCGTCAAGCGCAACAGCACCGTGGACTGCAACGGCGTGGTGTCGCTCATCGGGCCCGGCTCCCACATCGGGCGGCTCCTGCCTGAGGTGAAAATAGATAAGGCAGCTACAGACAGTGTAAGGAAGTACACAATGGACCAGGCTAGGCATGGCAGCCTCCGCTCCTGAACCCCTCTTACCCGCCCGGCCGGCCTCATGGGCTGCCCTCCATTCTGGTTAACTCGCCTGCCTCTTCCATCTTCCCATCTGCCCCCTACTCCTCTTAATCTTACCTTAGTCCTTTCCTTTAGACTTTGCCTCCTCTCCTCCTGCCCTGCCTTCCATGTTTCCGGGCTCCTTTTGTTTTACCTCTTAACCTCTCCCTCCACCTGGGTAAATCGGGCTGCCTTCTGCCCCTCCCCATACACACCTGCTTTGATTGACTGTAGGGTGGAATGAAACTGACCAGTTGCCACTACCAGTGACCTTAGTCTGAGCCGGTTTGAAATCACTGCTTCTCTTCCGTCGTCTTTTTCCTACAAGGAAAGCAGCTTGGAATTTAAAGACCTTACTGTTTCTATTTTTTTTTTTAATACTTTTTTTGACTGCCTCTCCACAAGGATGAGATGTGATTTTTTTTTCCAAAGAGGAATGTTCATGCATTATGCTGGGGTGGAGGTTGTATCAGGCAAGCCAGACCAGTGGTTGAGACCAAGAGAGAACTAGAGCCGGAGTCTCAGAAAGCCTTGGGATGGGAAGAAATGGGGAAAGAGGAAAGTGGGAGTTTGGGTGAAGAACACATGGTGCCTGGGGGAAGATGTAAGGCAAGCAGAAGATAAATTTAAATGGAGTCAGTCGTCAGGCTCTGGGGGAGTAGCAGGTAATCGCTTCAGAGAATCAACTGTCTAAGGGCTCAATAACCATTCCCCTCTTTGGGAAAAGCCATGTCTTAGCATTTCTTTAAATTCTAAGCTCTTTTTTAAAGTTTTCAGTAATCCTAACCATTCCCACCTCTAACTCTTCAGCGGTCTCAGCGCCTCTGTAGCTGTTGTGAGCCCCTGAGGCAGCATGGTCATCCATTGTTCTAACCACTCAGTATCTCTAACAGCATGAAGACAGCCAGCCTTTAACTAGCATGATGCATGTGTGAAAGAAAGTGGGTAATCGTGGGTGGAATTTTTCTTAGTGGTCTGTATTAGGGCTTTAGGGTAGTTGTTGGCTGTACAGATAAAACATCCAAAAGGCGGGGCTGGCATAGGTAGCTTAGTGGGAGACAGTGCTGTGGCATGCCTGCCACCAGCCCTGCGTTCCCTCTCCAGTTCCTCACTCTAGGTGGAAGAAAATGGAAAAAAAATCAAAAGTTAGTTTGAATGTGTTTGAGGTTGCTTTGTCTCTCTCCCCTATATTTAAAAGGAAAATGCATCGTCCCTTGGATACTTAGCTTTGTTCAAGCTACAAATGTCCCCTTCCTTTCTGTGTCTGTGGCAGGGCAGTTGAATTTGGTGCTGGGATCCAACCAGGCCTTCTGCATACGAGGCCAGAGCTCTCCCAATGAGCTACACCTCTAGACCTATATATATATATATGAAGTGTTACCCTCTGAAAACCCAATCCTTTTCTTCCAATTGGTTTTAACATGGTTTCTGTTCACTGACTTGGCTATTGCCCTTCTGGAGACCTGATTGTTTAAAGTCACAATGAGAACTAATGATGAACAGTGACTCGAATTCTCCAACCCAGAGAGGTGGCCAAAATAAACAAAGATATCACCCTTATGTTACATTTTTATTTGATTTTCACTAATTCTGTATCTAGGGTAAATTTTGGACTCAATTCCTAGATAGTTATATTCTCTGGGAAAACAACAAGAATTGACATCAGTGGAAAATCAGGATGGGTCATGTGGTGGTGTAGTTGGGAAAGCTCAGAAGTTCAAATACCCAGAGCTAAATTGAATTTTGTTGTACTGGAAGGTTTACGGTTCTAAGTCAAATAGTAAAGGTGCCATTTTCCCCAAAGAAAAGGGATGAGATGTTTAGGAAGTGTCTTCAGCTTCAGCTTAAGATATGGTCAGGCTTGGCAGTTGGCTTGGCTTGTTTTGATTAGGTTAGGTTTGGTTTGGCTGGGATGGTTTGGGTTAGGCTGTGTTTGGTTGGGTTGGGTTTGGCTGGGTTTGGTTTGGTTTGGTTTGGTTAGGCTAGGTTGGATTGGATTTGGTTAGGTTTGGTTGTGCTTGGTTAGGTTTGGTTGGGTTTGGTTAGGTTTGGTTGAGTCCGGCTAGGTTAGGTTTGGTTGTGTTGGCCATCTACTTCTGGGCATGGGTCTGCCCTAAGGAGTGGTTTGTATATGCAATGAGACTCTATTGGAGAATACTAATTCTTCATTTGTGAGCAGTTATCAATAGGAGATAGCTTCTAGGTTAGGTTTGTGTCCACTTTCCCTCTGGGATCCCATCAGGCTCACACATGCGAGCCCTGTGCATGCTGTCACAGTCTCTGTGAGTTCATATGTGCATCAGTCCTGCTGTGTCTAGAGGCCTTGTTTCCTTGGTGTTCTCCATCCCCTCTGGCTCTTACAGTCTTTCCAGCTCCTGTTCTACAGGGTACCCTGAACCCTGAGGGGAGGGGATTGATGGAGACATCCCATTCAGGACTTAGTATTCTAAGGTCTTCCACTCCCTGCATATTGTCCAGAAGTGGGTCTCTGCATTTATACTCATCTATTATAGGAGGCAGCTTCTCTGATGATGGCTGAGCAAGACACTGATCTATGAGTGTAGCAGATGTTGTTAAGATTCATTTCATTGCCACCTTCCTTTAGCAGAATGGTAGTATTTGGTTTTTCCCTAAGTCCCTGGCCCTAAGCAGTGTCGGATGGGTTTCATCTCATGAAATTAGCCTAAAATCTAGGCAAATAATGATTGGTCAGCCCTATAAGCTTGGTGCCAGTATTGCAATAGAGTACCTTGCATATAGGTCACTACTGTAGACTGGAGGGTTTGTAGCTGGGTTAGTATTTCCCTTTCTCCTCTGGTGGCATGCAGAGTACCTTCCAGTACCATAAACACCAGCCCATAGGAGTAAGGCTCTAGATAGACACCAGCTCAACTTCTCCGTGTTCAGTAAGTTATGTGTTGTCTTCAGCAATAGGACCTTACCATCAGATGGTAGAGAGCAACCAATACCCTTGGCAATAGCCTGGGTTGTGTGGGCTTCCCATGGAGCCCCTTTGGCTAATGCAACCCATTCCCAGTACTGTCAGCTTCATTTGGTGATTCGAGGGCCTCCGTCTCCTCTGTTATTTGGCAGTTCCATTTAGATTACTTTAATACATGTATATATATTTTAGATTTTTTTTTAAGTAGACACAGTGCTGTGAAGTTGCCGCTTAGACTGCCTTAATTGTATCATATAGGTTTGGGTATGTTGTGTATTCATTTCCGTTCAATTCTAAAAAGTTTATAATTCTTTTTTAATTTCTGCCTTGACCCACTTTTCATCCGGTAGAGAGTTGTTCAGTTTCCAATTACTTTATAGACTTTTAGTTGTTTCTGTTGTTGTTGATATCCAGCTTTAATTCATGGTGGTCTGATAGGATGTGGGGGGGGGGCGGTATTTCTTTTTTTCTTGTATCTGTTGAGACAGCTTGCTTTATGTCCAGGTATGTGATCAATCTTAAAGAAAGGTCCATGGGGTGCTGAGAAGAAAGTATATTCTTCTGTGTTTGGGTGAACTGTTATGAAAATAGTTAGTAGGTCCATTTGATTTATGACATCATTTAGCTTCAGCATTTCTGCTTAGTTTTTGTCTGCATGACCTGTTAATTGGCAAGATTAGAGTATTGAAGTCAACTACTGTCAATGTGTAGGGAGTCAATATGTGATTTAAGCTGTAGTAGTGTTTTTTGTTGTTGTTTGTTTGTTTTATGTTCTTGATTCTCCTTGTGTTTGGTGCCTAAATGTTCAGAATTGCAATATCCTCTTGGTAGATTTTTTTTCCTTTGATGAGTACATAGCATCCTTCCCTATCTCTTTGGATTAGTTTTGGTGAAAAGTCTATTCTGTAAGATATTAAAATGGCCATACTGGCTTTATTCTTGTGTTCATTTGCTTGGAATATCTTTTTCCATATTTGTACCCTGAAGTGATGTCTGTCCTTGATGTTAAGGTGTGTTTCCTAGATGCAGCAGAAGGATAGGGCCTGTTTTTGCATCCATTATGTGTCTTTATATTGGGGAATTGATGTTGAAAGTTATTAGTGAGCTGTGTTTACTGCCATGCATACAGGGGTGGGCATTCTGCCAGGTTCCCAAGGGGCAGGGCCAAGGTTAGCCTGGATGATAATAGTTGTGGTTTAGGGTTTACCCCCACTCTTTTGATTTGCTGGTCAGAGTTTATTTTTTCCTTGTGTTTTCTTGGGGGTGGTCAACCTTTTCAGGTTGAAGTTTTCCTTCTAGTGTCTTCTATGGACTACATACTGCTTAAATTTGGCTTTATTGCAGAATATCTTTTCCCATGTATTGTTATTGAAAGTTTTGCTGGATACAGTAATCTGGGATGGCATCTGTGGTCTCTTAGACTATGTAGAACATCTGTCCAGGCCCTTCTGGCTTTTAGAATCTCCACTGAAAAGTCAGGTGTTATCTAATAGTGCTACCTTTATATGTTACCTGATCTTTTTCCTTTGGAGTCTTTCTGCTCCAGTCTATTTGGTATACTGTATGCTTCTAGTACCTTAATATACACCTCTTCTTTAGGTTAGGGAAGTTTTCTTCTGTGATTTTGTTGAAAGTATTTTCTGTGTCCTTGGCCTAGGTTTCTTCTTCTTCCTCTATTCCTATTATTTGTAGATTTGGTCTTTCCATAGTGTCGCAGATCTTCTGGATGTTTTTGTGCCTGGATTTTTTTTTTTTTTTTTAGATTTAACTGAGGCATCTGAGGCATTCTTTTATTCTGTTAGTGAGGCTTGCCTCAGAAGTTCTTGTTTGAGTTCCTAAAGTTTTTATTTTCAACTTTACCACAATCTGGATTTTCCTTGGGGATTCCACTTCCATGTGTGGGAATGGCATTGCTTTCCACTTTGTATATATGTGTTCATCGATTTCATTCATGGATTTATTCCTAGCCTCTAAGGTCCTTGAGCATATTCATAATAACTATTTTGAAGTCCTCATCTTGTGCTTTGTCTATATGGAATTTCTTAGGGCCTGCAGTGGTAGGTTTGCTGAGCTCTGGTGGAACATACTGTCCTGGTTGTTACTGATTCTGTTTTTATGCTGGTGTCTAGGCATCCTCGTCTGGGGTAATTGTAATTCTAAGTGTTGATTTGGTCTGGTCTTTGTTGGTCTCTGATGCTCCCTGGATCTTAGTAAACTGGAGGGCATGGATTGCCTGGAAGGGAGCGCTGCTGAGTCCCTGCTGGATATGGCCACTGGGAGTCCTGGGTAGAACTTGTTTCTGGGTTTGGGGAGCTGATATGCAGGAGTGGGGATGGGCTAGAAGGATGGGGAGGCAGGGGCTGAGAGGGTCCACAGGAGGAAGGAAATCTGGGTCTGCCAAAGGAATCTGGATCCACAGGGAGTGAAGGAAGAGAGGAAGGTGGCCCATGATAGTGGTTGTTACGTGCTGGGCATGAGCCTGGGTGATGGTCACTGGAAGACAGGAGGAAGATCACCTACTTCGTTTCCAGGGAGAAAATTTCTCCATCATCCTAAAGAGATGGATGAGGAAGGCTGCAGGGGCGGGGATCGGCTTAGTCCCTGGGATGGAAGCAGAGAGGAAAGAGTGCCACAGTGGGTGATCTCTTACAAAGCTGGGGATAAGACTGGGAACCAGAAGGAGAGTGAAAACTTCCTACTTGATTCCAAGGCCAGCATGGCCTAAAGTATGAGGTTAAGGATATATACTATCACACAGGACTGAAAGGGTTTTTGTTTTTGTTTGTTTGTTTTTTAGTAAATACCTTTGTGGTGAAATTCTGGGGCTTATGGTAAATTGTGTTTAACTTTATGAGAAGTTACAAAGTAGTTCTCTCAAACAGTTACACTGTCTTTTATCCAAGCAAGTTGTATTAGAGACAGTTTTGTTAATCTTTGATTTATTTGCTTCATTCATTTACTTTGTGGTACTAGTGATTGATCTCATACTATAAACAGGTGCTGCCACTGAGCTACGCCAGCCCCTGTCTTTTAGCATTGGGCATGGCTTGTTTTGTTTGGTTGTGAGATAAGGTCTTAGTGTTGTCCATATTGGCCTAGGACTTTCCATGTAGAACAAGCTGGCCTGGAACTCAGAAATCTGCCTGCCTCTGCTTCCCAACTGCTTTTCCCTTTTTAAGTCAATAACTTTTATTATTAGTCACATCGTTTATAAAAAATTGACTGTAGCCAATAAGGCAATGCTGTATGAAAAGCGGATCCATGTTTGTACACATGACATGTACACAAGGGAAGCACAGCTCTCCCTGTAGCAGTCAGGCGCCTCGCAGCATACACAGCCCTGAGTGCAAGTGGAGCAGCAGCTCTTTCTGCAAGAGCCCCTGTCCAGGAGCCTGCCCGGTATCAGAGCCCAGGTCCAGGAGCCTGCCCAGAGTCAGAGCCCCTGTCCAGGAGCCTGCCCGGTATCAGAGCCCAGGTCCAGGAGCCTGCCCAGAGTCAGAGCCCCTGTCCAGGAGCCTGCCCGGTATCAGAGCCCAGGTCCAGGAGCCTGCCCAGAGTCAGAGCCCCTGTCCAGGAGCCTGCCCATCTGGTGTCAGAGCCCATGTCCAAGAGCTACCTGTGGCTCAGAAGCCCATCTTGAGCCTGGTGAGGCTGAGACAGTACAGAGTGACAGAGGCAGTTGAGCTGAGGAGATGTATATATCCTCTTTAGTGCATTGTTTAAGATCTCTTAACCACTGTTAACTCACTTTTATTGAGTTGTTGATAGTTTCTTAGTTGCTCTAGATATAGGTACATTATGACAAAATCCAACATCAATTTTTATTTTGTGATACTGCTTTCTGCATCTTGTTCAGGAACTCTGTCTCTGCCCTCAGTGTTATGCAAATGTCTGCTGACTGCCTAATGGCTCTTGGTTTCATACTCACATCTCTGATCTTCTCAAATTAATTTTTGTATATGAAGTGAAGCAGGGATTAACCTGGATGGATATCCAGTCTTCCAGCACCACTTGTGAGGGCTTTCCTTTCCTGTTGCATTGGTGCCTTAGTCCAATGCATTGTTTTATGTACTGTGAGTCTATGTCTAGTCTGCTCTGCTCCCTGAATCTTCTCTGCTTACACCACTGCTTGCAGGCCTTCTTTATTCCCATCCCATACAAACCTTTTAAACAACAATCTGCATGCATTTAAAGGTGTGTAACGAATATCCTTCAGAAAGTTATTTTAACATTCTAGGTCTTTGCATGTCCTTATTAATTTCAGAAACATCAGTTTCTTTTTAAAAACCTTGAATTTTACTAGGCATTACACTGAACTGATGAATCAATTTGAGGAGAGGGGGCATCTTAATTTTGGTATCAGTGGACATCATTGTCTATATAAATAAAAGTATACTCCTTTATTTATTTAAGTCTCCTGAAGTATCTCTCAGGAAAGTTACATAATTTATCATGAGCATCTCACATCTTTCGACAGTTTTATTCCTTGATGTTTTTTCTGTTACCATAAGGATAGGCGTGCTATTGTCTCTGTGATCAGGCTGAAGCTGCCTGTTCCCTTTAGGTTTGCTGAACTGCAGTGTCGCAGAGGGGTTTGATTGTGGATGCCATTTCTCCATATCTGTGGGTGATCTTATGCATCTTCTTTGTTCTGTTGGTCTGACAGCACTGGTTTAGCTTGCTTTCCTTGGTTAAACCCAGTTTCTGGTCCCTGTGCCCTCTCTCTGGTCTCCTTATATTTGCCTTAAGAAGATAGGAATAATAGTTGTTCATCGTTAATAAGATTGAAGATTATTTTTGTGGTTTATGTGGATTTTTTTAAATAGCTAGGATTGAGAGTAAAAAACACATGGCCTGAGTCCAGTCTCCAGCACTGCAGAGGCAAGAACGAGGGCTTCCTAGTAAGGACCCTTAAATGATGACCTAGTGAGCTCTCTCACTCTTTAGACTCTGCCTCCACTAACCTTGGCTTTTAAGGTTGTTACTAATATGTTCTGAAGATGTTATAACTTGTTTTATAGAGATGCAAAAAATAGTAAAATACCAAAACCATATTATATGTAATTTCCCATTCCTTAGTCATCATCTGGTCCTTCAGAGGTGACCATTCTGAAAATCATCTGTCATATCCACTGTAGATGGACTGAAGGGTCAACTCAGTAAAAATCTAGCTTCAATCCAGTGGCAGAAGTAAGCGTCTAATAGATAGAGCCTTTGTATGTTCATTTTTACATGATCATCACTTTATGGCGTAGTAGATTAATCTGATTTATTAAATGTTCTATCATAATGGAAACTGGAGCAAAAAGTGGCTTCTCAGAAAAATGTGTACCTATCTGAGATGATGTTTAAGTCATTCTTACAGGTACAGATGTCTTTATAGCACTACAATTAGGAATCCCCAAAGAAAACAGTTCTTTCTCCTCTCCATTTCTTCTGTAGTTCTGCTACATAAACAAGTAAGACCCAAGTGAACCAAATGTGTTGGTCAGTTGGACAGTGTGAGTAAACACTTTGATGAGATAAATTTTGTCATCTGCTAGGAATTACCTACCCTCTGTGCAGTCTTTCACTGCACTGTGTAAGTCCAGAGGGTTTTTGAAGAGCTCCTCAGAAGTGTTTTATTTCTGAGACAACCAATCTAAGCATGTGTAAGGACAGAGGGTTTTTGAAGAGCTCCTCAGAAGTGTTTTATTTCTGAGACAACCCAGATCATTTTGGAACTGATCTGGCATGCTTCTCTCATCTCATACAAACATGTCTTTTTGTGTGCTGGAAATGATGACTGCCCAAGTCACATGGAAGGAGCAGGAAAGTCCACATAGGTGGCATAATACAGGGAACAGCATGTTTGCTAAAGAGGTGGTTTTTAAACCAGCCATTAAGACTGGTCTGATGTAAAGTAGTTACAAAGAGCATCCAGGGGCTGGAAAGGTGACTGCTTTTCCAGAGTCCCAGACCCACGTGACTTCTCACAACTGTCTATAGCTCCAGTCCCAGGAGATCTGGCCTCCACAGACACCAGTCACACACACACATGGTACAGAGACATACACACAGGCAAAGCACCCACATATACACTAAAAATGATGGTGGTGGTGGTGGTAGTGGTGATGGTGGTGGTGGTAGTGATGGTGATAAACTCCACAGCAGCCCAGTACACCATGGCTAAACATTAAACAAATATATTTTATAACAACCCAGAGATGTATTTGCCATTTGTATGTTATTTGGTTGGGAAATTTAAACATTGTAATTTAATTAAATGGGTTTGGTTTGGGGTTTTTTGTTTGTTTGTTTTGCTTTGTTTTGTTTTGTTTTGTTTTTTGACACAGTGTCTCACTATGTAGCTCCCAATGTCCTAAAGTGGATCCAGTCAGAAAGTGGTTGGCCAGGCCAATTGTTACTATAGTTGGAAGGGCTCATGGGTAAGACTTGTGGCAGCTCAAGCCAGACCAAATGCCAACATGGGGGAGGGCATGAAGTCACCCCCCACACCCTGGCGGAGGCGGTTGGCAGTTGCAGCTGCTGTAGAGGGAGGAGGACACTAAGTTGGATGGGAGGAGAAGGGGATGAGAGGACCTGGGAGAAGCTGAGAATGGGAGTACACTTAATCAAAACACAATGTATGGAGTTCTCAAAGAACTAACTGAACATTTTTCAAGACATTAAAAAGGCAATACAGATCATAAGGCTCTGGCTCACACTCTGGACTGACAATCCAGTGGGGCCCAAGCCTTATGTCTACTCAACTTTACTCACCCTATCTGATTTATTTTATTTATTTATTTTTATAGGCAACAACTGAGGTGGAAATCAAGAAGAAAGGCCCTGGGTCTCTCTTAGTCTCCATGGACCAGCTTGCCTCCTACGGACGGAAGGACAGGATCAATAGCATCATGAGTGTTGTCACAAACACACTAGTGGAAGGTGTGTGCCCTGTGTTGCCCATCCGAGCAGAGTGTAGTGTGTGGGTAAATAAAACCCTGCCCCTTCATGTGAGTCTTGCAGAATTCTGTGAGCCTTTGGAATAGAGCTCACCAAAAATAGAAACCAGGGTCACAAACTATCTTCCCAAAGCTGCATTCAGAGAATCAAGTAAAGTCCTAAGATCTGCCACCAGCATCACACAGAGGTAGGAAGGATGGAGGAACAGCAGAGGATGACTGGAGGATCTCAAGAAGCCCCAGTGAAGCCATCATGGAGAGATGCTGTGAGACTTCATAGCACTGGGTAGAGCGGCTCATACCAAGAGATGGAGTCCCCTTGCTGACCCCGCCCCGCAACGTACCTTCCTTGTCTCCTGTCTAGTGACATGCAGCCCATTAGATGGTTTCTGAAGGAACATGTGCTGTGCATTTGATTGTTCTTAATTCTGCCGCTCTCCAGATACCCCACATATCCACAAATGTATGGGATATGTGAATAGATAAGCCCAAACCAAGAGACTCTCAAAACTTGGTGCCACAGGGAAAGAGCAGCCACTCTCGAGCCCTAACCCATCTGCAGTGACGTGGCTGTGCTGACTTCTCCAGGCTACATGTTTCTCCCTGATGCGTGCTTGGCATGCCATGGAATTGCTGAGAATTTCCTTTAGGCCGCAGTACCTCCAGCAAGTAGCACCCTCTCCACAGTCCTGGTATATATCCCAGGCTTCTCTTGGAGGCAAATGCAGTAACTAGGATTCCTCACATGGGATTCCCATTGGTTCTGTTTGATTTTCTTCATCTGATGCTTGTTTAGCTTCAAGTGACTGTTCTCAGAGTACACACTGCCAGGTTGCCTCAGCACTAGCCATAGTCCCTGTGATGGTGGCACTTGGGAGTGTCCTGCTAGCCACAGGATGTATTAATTACCTTTTGAGTTGTTTATGCTCACCGTGTGTGTGTGTGTGTGTGTGTGTGTGTGTGTGTGTGTGTGCTTTTTGAGTTGTTTATGCTCACCGTGTGTGTGTGTGCGTGTGTGCGTGTGTGCGTGTGTGTGTGTGTGTGTGTGTGTGTGTGTGTGTGTGTGTGTGTGTTGGAGTAGGGGTGCCATGGAAAGAGAACCCATAAGAAACCCCTGTAAGAGTACTGGTACCCCCAGAGAAAGATGAAATACACCATACTGGGCTGAAGAGAGCATCAAGTCAAGTGGTGTGTCTAATTTTAAAAACTGAACAACCTTCCTTCAGCCACCCGAACAACCACTGTCCATTCTAGTTTCCCCAGCTCCCGTTGGAACATCTTCAAGCTTTGTGGCTTGTGTGTTGAGGTTTCAGGCAAATAACTGCAGACTGGAAGAATTCCAAGTTAAGAAACACTAGCTTGGAAATTTTGGCTAATTTAATTATTCACTTGGAGACCAAGACAGGCTCTTTCCAAATGTATATGGCAATGGAGGAAGAGGAACAAGCTCCAACAGATACATTCATTACTGGCGGGGACATGGGAACAAGGGAATGCTCTGTCCTGAGCTCAGTACAGTGGCCTGGCATGGAGATTCAAACAACATGGTCAGACTGGGCTTCCCTGTGCTGGGCACAGTCACTTCTGGAAGCCTTAATTGAATATTAGCCATTGGGGCACTGACCTTGTCTTTCTCCATTCTGCTTTACAAATTCTCTACTTTCCACTAGCCACACATTAAAAAAAAAAAAAGACAGAAGCATAACTCATGATAGAGAATGCTGTAGTTGTAACCATTCCAGTACTTCTCTGTTGGTAGGCTCAACTGTTTCCATAGCCTGTACTGCCCCTACCACCGACCCACACACACCCCTCCTGTGCAGCCACCTGACCCCCAGACATCCTCCTGTCCTACCACTCAACACCCAGACATTGCTCCTGTCCTATACCTTGTCCTGACTCCTTTGATTGAAGCTGATGATCTGGAACTGAGTGGTGTAAGGAGGCTGAAGACATTAACAAGAGCCACTGGTTTTAACCACTGACCCTGCTGTGTTTACTGCCTGCCACATTAAAAGCATTAAGTGAGTAATTATTCCTGCTTCCCAGACTTATAATTGAGAAGCTCAGATGTTATTTTAATCCAAAGATTTAAATAATTGCTTCTGAACCAATGAAACAGACTCTTGCCTAGCTAAAGGCTTAGATACTATAGTGGAGAATTCTCAAATTTCTTCAGGAGAAAAATTTCTCTGCCCTTCCCCACACCATCCTGTTGCATACTCGCTCAGCTTGTCAGGTGGAGCCTTAGTGGTGGTGTAGGGCAGTGGTGATTCCCTGGGGGTGGGGGTGGGGGGCTGGCCTCTTGGACATCCATCCAGTTGATGCCGCTGTCACCTCTTCTGTTCAGCTAAAAGTGTGGAGACGGTGGGAACTCTTTCCTGCCTTTCCAAAACCTGATGATACTTGTTGAGTTAAGGGAAACTCCTGCCATAAACCTGTTGGTCCATCAAAGTCTCCATCTTGGTGAAAACAGTTCCCAGTATTCCCAGTACTGAGACATGTGGGTAGGCCCTCTAAAAATATCCAGAAGCAACATAGGACAAATTCCACAAACCTCATACTCCCTTATCTGAGCTCATCAGGTAGTTTGTATATCTGTCATGCTGTCACTAGAGAAGCTGAAGCAGAAAGATCCAGTGAACCCTTGAGGCAACATAATGAGACCCTGACTCAAAACAGAATAGAATAAACAAGTAACTAACCAAAAAGAAACTAGCAAGCTTCCCATTGAGCCAAGGATCTTCTCCATCTCCCACACTCACTGAACTCTCTGAGGAGCTGATTACCCAAGGCTCACCCCAGCCCCGGGGTGAACATAGGGAGTAGGGAGCAGGTAACCCTGTGGGGATCTTCTGGGTGGCTCAGAGTGGGGAGAACCCTCTTGATCTCTGGAACCTAGTGCCATGTGAAGTGTGGCAATTGTGTCATCTCTCAAATGTGAACAGTCAGGGCTCCATCTTCCACAAGTTGAGCCGACAAGCTGCAGACATTTGGAGAAGGGAGGAGATAAAAAAAGAACGGAACCAAATTTCCAAATATGCACTATAAGAATTTGTGGAAATAAGAGAACCTTTCCATTTTCTTTTCTGGGGAAGAAAACTAAATTTACCTTGGGAAAGGAGGGGGTTCAGTGAGAAAGAAGCCGAAGCAAATTCTCGTCACAGACTTCTTTTCCCACACAGACTCCCACGCGGCTCTCACTGGGGCCCTTCAATCTGAAAACCAAGGCAACCATTTTCTTAGCAACCAGGGAACCAGTCTGATGCCCACCCTACCTAAATAGAGCCATCGCCCTGGGCCACAGCCAGCTCTCTGGAGAAAGGACAGGACAGGCAGAGTGGTTGACTAGCCATCCTGTACTTGAGGAAACACTGGAAATTTTTATTTTGTTTATATTTGTTTGTTTATTTGATCATTGGTGGTTTTTATTTTTTAAATTGGGGACTTATTATGTAGCCCTAGCTAGCCCAGTACTTGTTATTTAGCCCAGACTGGCCTTGAATTTGTGGCAATCTTCCTACATTAGTCTCCTGAGTGCTGCACTTACAGGAGTACCCAGATCTAGGGAGAATTTTATTTTTATTTTATCACTGTTAGGCTTCTTGAAGAATGTCTTCACCAGATAAGGAACTTGGAGTTTTGCAATCCCAGCTGCTCCTGTAATTTGAGGAGAGTTTTGTCACCTAAGCCTTGTACCTGGGTTGGTGAGGCCGCAAACTGAGCAGTGCTCTGCCTTAGCTGCCCAGTCAGTCTTTTTAATTTTGGCTTCCTAAATAATCTGGGAGACCATATAATCAGTGTCTCTTCAGTGCTGAGAGTCTCCTGGACCTGGGCAACCTCTTGAAGGAGGGTGTCCATGTGTCAGTGTGTCTGGGGAAGTCACCTGGGAAGGAGGGCATCTCTTGGGATGGCTTCAAGCTCCTCCTCTCACTCCAGCCAGCATAATTCCTGGCTTACCTCCGTTCTGTATGGGCCACATGAGGTGTTTGAAACACTGCATTCTTCTTTAAGAGAGAGGGCATACGACAAAGTAAGGGAAGGGAAAAAAGTATGGAGGGGATAGAGAAGCTACAGGAAGAGAAGGAAAGGGCAAGAGAGATGGACTAGCAAAAGGATGACAGGGGAATATGAGAGGGTGTGCCCTGTGTGGCTCTCAGCTGTGAACTGCAACCTCACTGGAGGTGGGGCGCTGGCCTGTACTCTGCAAACAGTAGATGTATGTGTGGTAGCCAGCCAGCAACACCTTTTTCTGCATTACTGCCAGATACACTGTCCAGGGTGCTCACTGTCTGCTAGGGTGTTCTGAATTCTGTGTGTGTGTGTGTTAGTATAGGTGCAGCAGGTACACATTTGTGTAAAGCACATAGAGACCAGAGATCAGAAGGCTAGGCTGGCGCCAGTGAGCTGCAGGGATCTGCCCATCTCTGTACCGCCAGCACTGGGATTACACACATGCACTAGGGTTGCACATGCTTGTGTAGTGAGCATTTTACTGACTGAGCCATCTCTCCCAGCCCCCAGCTTGTTTAATTCTCACCAAAATTAATTAATCAAGATTTAAAGAGATGGCTTAATTTTATCATGGTCCCACAATTATTAACAAGTGTCTGGCCTAGTATTTGAACCCTGGCCTAGTATTTGAATTCCTGGCCTCAGTGTTTATACTTTTAATGGCTGTTCTGATAAAAATGTAACAACACTGTAGATTAGAGCACCTTCCATGTAACCAAGGACTTCCTTTGCAGGTCTGCACTAGAGATGCATCATCTCTAGCCTTTAACTGTACATATGTAACCTTGTCAGATAAGCTTGGTAGCTCACTTCCTGCTCAGACCTATAAAGTCACAGCTGAGCCTAGAGATCAGTCAAATCACTTTAGATCTTCCAGCCGACTAAACAGAGAACTCAGACTCCTGACCATGATCTGTCCTATACCCAGTGCATTGAGATTATGTATAACTGGATTGTTGCTGACAGGGAAGAGACTAGCCCTTTGCTCTTACTGTGAAGGAAACCTGAGGATCAGCAGGCAAGTACCCTCTATAGAGTCACAGCATCAACAGTGACAACTGCCTAACTAGAAGATCCTGTGTGTCTTATTTCCTCTCTACACCAGCAGCTCTTCATCTTCCTAATGTAGCAACCATAAAATTATTTTCATTGATACTTGATAACTGTAATTTTGCTACTGTTGTGAATTGTAATGTAAATATCTGTTCTCTGGTGGTCTTAGGTAACTCATGTGAAAGGGTCATTCAACACCCTCCAAAGGGGTCTCAACCTATAGGTTAAGAACTACTACTCTGTGTGTGTGTGTGTGTCTGTGTGTCTGTGTGTCTGTGTCTGTATCTGTGTGTGTGTGTGTGTGTGTGTGTGCACATACACACTGAGAGCTCTCTTTGTTCTTTGCTCACTCCAGAGCTGGAAGAGTCTCAGAGAAAATGCCCACCATGCTGGTATAAGTTTGCCAACACTTTCCTCATCTGGGAGTGTCACCCCTACTGGATAAAACTGAAGGAGATTGTGAACTTAATCGTCATGGACCCTTTTGTAGACTTGGCCATCACCATCTGCATTGTTCTGAATACACTATTTATGGCGATGGAGCACCATCCTATGACACCACAGTTTGAGCATGTCTTGGCTGTAGGAAATCTGGTAAGGTGGAGCAGAGTCTCCCAATGGGATGACTTGGTTGTGGTTTTGCTGCGGGCCTTCTTTTCCTGATTGGGAAAGCTGGAACTCGGTTAACAAGACAGTAATGGTGGTTAACTGGAGATGAGTTCATCCATATGTTATGGCATCAGCACTCCGGGCTACAACCCTTTAGCTGGGTCTTTTCTGCAGCGCTTTGGGGCCATCACTTAGAGCCATTAGCAGGAAACCAACTGCAGTGACAACAGTGGGAGACTAAGGACAGTGGGTTGGTTTAGCTGCTTGAGCCCAGGATTTCTGGAATGTTTTGCCACCCTCCCCCAATTCTGTTTCTCATGTTGATTCCTGTATTGCTCAAAAAATCCACTTTCCCTTGTTCCTTAGATAACGGCCACCTAAAATGGGGCAGTTGTGGTGCATAGAGTGCCCTACGCTGCTTGCACTGTGGATCTTGCCTTCCAGATGGGGTTATTTATGAGCAACTTTTGACTCCAAACAGCTTCCCGGCCAGTTCAACCTCTGGGCCATCATCCAGTTTCTGCTACTAGCTGATCTCAAATGTCTTGTAATATTTAGTCATATATTTATTTAGTTATATTAGATAGAAGGTAAAATATGAAGCTTCAAAACATCAAGAAGTTATCATTTCAGATTATCTGTTTTCCCAGTACAGAGTCGAGAAATTGTTGAGTTCTGTGAGTAGAGAGTGAGTTGGAAGTAGTCCCAGTCGCCTGGGCCCTGCCCTTCCTTAGGAGCTGCATCAGGGGCGTGTCCCCATTCGGCTCCATGTTTCCCTTCAAGCATGACGGCGACCCAGTGTTCTCTGCACTCATGTTCTCCTCTTGCACAAGCTCACATACACAATCCCACACACGTGGGATTTTCACCTTCAGCCCTCACACACTGTTATTTTAATACCATTTTTTAGTTCCCATCCTAAAAAATATCACTTTTGCCCAGAGCAGGCTTTCACCTTTCTTCCTCTTCTTCCTTCTCTTCCTCCTCCTCCTCCTCCTTTTTCTTCTCCTCCTTCTCTTCCTCTTCTCCTTTTTTTTTTAACTTTTGCTCTTTGCAGATTACATGCTCTCTGCAGATTACACGACAGTTTTCTAGAACTCCCTCAGCCTGTGTCTGACCTATGTGACCCCACAGGGCCGTGCGCTTTGGTGCACACACAATCAGGGTTGGGCTGCCTGGTGTTCATCACCACCACCAAACACAGCTTCCATCGCTCTCCTCGTTTCTGTTCCGCCTTTATTCGATGATTTGGCTGAGGTGATGTGTCAGGCTTCTCTCTGTATAGTTCCTCTTTTCCATTTGTAATTAATAAACACTTATAAGGGAAACTTTTTGAAATTATCTAATTTCCTGTTCATTTGGCTCCTGACTCATCCCTCTATATCAGAATGGACTGCTGCTTCTCATTCTTATCCACTGTATTATAGTTCAAAAGTTACTGTCATTTACTTTGATGCTTACCCTATCCCTGATTTGGCTATTGGGAAGTCCTTTAACTGTGTCCTTTTGATATATTCTAGTTTCTTCCTTGCTTTCTGGTACCAGGAGAATTTTGCATTTTTTTTCTATGCCAGGATTGACTAGAACATTCTCAAGAAACCCTGATCTGATTGTTCAGTGAATATAGTATTGTGAAGCCAAGTCAGGCACCTGAGTGTGCTTATTGAGGCCAAGCCATTTAGAAAAAACTCAGTACACAGTGACAACCACAGAGGGCTCTGTCACTTCCAGTCTAGTCTAACACCACAGCACTCTTTCTGTCCCCACCTCTCCCTTTCTACCTTTGAAACTCCTCTGACTGTAAGAAGCTGGCTACCAGTCCTCATGATAGACTTATGTGATCAGAAAGCCAGTGTGGCCTCCCAGGTTCAGTTCCATTACCCTCCACTGGGTGTCTTCAGCACACACAGGTAGTATCTTCACCCTTTTAGTATCCAGACTACTGCTCTCCATGCAAAGTCCTTCACACTTCCAAGACTCTGACAGCCTGTGCAGGCCACCTACATACCTTTATTTTGTGTGCCTTTTGAAGAACCGTTCAAGCCTGCCTAGACACACTTCTCGCCCTACCACAGGCTTTCTCTAGAGTGGAAGCTCTCTTCATCCTGCTTAGACTGTGAGTCCTCATGCCATGTCATGTATCTGTGTAACACCCCCACATACTCACTTCCACTCAACTCAGACCAGACCACATCCTCACCTCCTATTCTCTCAGATTGGGTCACTTCTCTTGGAGGGCACTGTCCTTACCATACACTGTCCTTTGCTGCAGGGAGCTCTCCCCTACTCATGCGTCTTCCTCACCATGATGCTTTCTTTACCCTGGTTAAGCTGTCACTCTGCCAGCCCTGGTTCACTATTCAGTTCAGTGCGGATACCTTCCCATCCTACTCGGACCTGGGTGCCAGTGTAGTGTAGCTATCCCAGGCAGATCTCATTCTACCTCTAGTAGCCCTCACTGGACTGGTCCTCCATGGTGGAAGGAAGCCTCTCCCTGACTCTGATAGCCATGCTGTTTGATTGCCTCATTCCTTCCTGAGAACTAACTGGGGGAGCATCTCTTCCAGTGCTGGGAAGCATCTATGCAGAGATCACTGCTGCCCTGCTTTGTCCCAACAGCTAGCCCCTCCCCATGGATTACTATGGTGTCAATCCTATTGTTACATAAAAAAGTTCTCTGTAAAAATATGATAATCAGTAAGAATCATGTGGGCAACCTGTCCTAAGGTATTCTCCATATCCCCGGCTTCTGTGATTTGACTTCCCTAAAGCCTGTGGGGTAGGGGTGGCCCCAGGAAACACAAGGCATTTTGCATCAGACAGAAGAGCAGGACATAAGAAACAGGGCATGAGGGAGAAGTTCTTGCATACAGTATGCTACAAATGAATTGGGTGCCATACTAAAAAGGTAAGAAGGAAGCACCAAAGTGTCCAACACTGAGGAATTCCTTGGGAAATGTTCCATCAGTGGAACAGTAACAGGCAATAAAATTGATCAGAAGACCATGCACCAGCAGAATGGAGTCATGACATCTTGGAAAATTAGGCTCAAGATATTATGTATTATAACATATATGTATTTTTAAAACTCAAAAAGAAGTTGGTGGCACACACCTTTAATCCCAGCACTCGGGAGGCAGAGGCAGGAGGACTCTGTGAGTTCAAAGCCAGCCTGGTCTACAGAGTTCCAGGACAGGTTCCAAAGCTACAGAGAAATCCTGTCTCGGGGGGAAAAAAAAAAACTCAGAAAGAGATCATAAAAAATGGTGATTATAGGCAAAGTAGGGAGACTATGAACTCTTTCTGGTTTTATACACTTTGACAACATCTGATTGCTTTTGTCACTTAAACTGTGGCATATGACTAGGTTTGCTAAGATATAATAGCAAATCAAAAGTGAGAGGGTATATTGTGAACCTAAACACTAGAAGTTTGTTTTTAGCATGTGTTACTTTCTTTTAATGGATACATAGTTGTGTTTATTTGCAGGACACAGCTGACATTTCAGTACATGTACACATTGTACAATGATCAGTTCAGGTCAATTAACAAATCTGTCACTGCCAACATTTATCTTTCTTTGTAATAACTTTCAGAGTCCTCTCTAGCTACTTTGAAATGTAAATACATATTTGCTGATTATAATTACTCCCCCATAAAATTAGGCCACCAAATGCCTGACAACCTTTAAAAGGGGGTGGCCTTGTATCCTGTTTATACTGCTTAGATTATTTGTTAACCCCGTGCTACACAATATGAACTGAGTGGTTCTGGTGACTGAGATGGAAACACTGGCACTGAAAATTTCCTCCAAACAGAAAAGAGATGGTCCTGTATCAGTGTGGGGTGCTCATGAGCTACCCAGGTGTTGATGTCCAGCAGCAGAGAGGCCCAGGCTGGCTTTTGATTCTTGGGCATGTGGTACTGAAAGGGATGATAAAGGTATGTTCTCTTTGATGCTCTCTCCTTCAGGTGTTCACTGGCATTTTCACGGCAGAAATGTTTCTGAAGCTCATAGCCATGGATCCCTACTATTATTTCCAAGAAGGCTGGAACATTTTTGACGGATTTATTGTCTCCCTCAGTTTGATGGAGCTGGGTCTTGCAGACGTGGAGGGGCTGTCAGTGCTGCGTTCTTTCCGATTGGTACTCCAGATTCTTTGGTTTCTTTGCGCATTTCAATCTTACAGCTAACTGCCAGAAAGTGTTTGGTATAGCTAACATAAGCTGTCCCCTGAAGTGTACTCTGTCCCAGTTCAGCTTGCCACTTAATTGGCTTCTCCACTAAAGTCTTGAAAACTTTTCTGCTAAATGTAACATGGTGTAAAAGTTAGGTTTTGGAATCAATAAGCTAAAGTAATTAAGTTTTAGAGGTTCCTTAGGAAATTATGGTTAATTCAGAAAAGGAAGGAGTCCAGTGGCCTTCTGAGATCATTTGGTGGTTGGCTATTGCGTTGTTTCTCTGAGTATCTCTCCCCGAATGAAGAGAACCTATGTGTTCAGAGATGGTTTTCTTCATTTCTTCTGTATGGAAACACCTTCCAGAGATTGAACAGAAAATAGTGTTTTATTAAATTACATTGAAATTAGTGGTTGAACATTGGCTTAATTTTCCATGTTATTAGTGATTAGTGTCATTTATTAACATATTGGTATAAGGAAATGTTTAAATTGCAAAGTGATTCTGGAGAAGTTAATGAGATATGCAGCAAGCACAGGTGTGAGTGACACCCCGTAGAAGCTGAGGGGCCTTGCCATTTCCTGCTCAGCTCCCTCATGTTCCTCTCTTGGGTCAGGACAGTGCCTAAGCACATTTCTCACTGAGATAGTCAACTTGTCAAAGAGCTGGCCTAGAGTAGAGCTTGTAGGATGGAGATTGCACACATGGCACCTCCCTGAAATGGCTGAGGATCCTGCCCATAGTTGACTTATTTTTAATTTAAAACTATTTATTTTTACTTTATGTGTGGGGTATTTTATCTGCCTGTGCACCACACGCAGGTGTCCAGGAGACCACGAGAGGGCACTGGATCCCTGTGCACTAGAGTCGAAAGTGGTTTAAGCCACCACGTGAGTGCTGGGAATTGAACTTGGGTCCTCTGGGAGAGCTATAAGAGCTCTTAACCTCTGAGTCATCTCTCCAGCCCTCCATAGTTGAATTTCCAAAAAACAGTCTTATCTCAGTTAGAAGCCAGCCAGGGAAAACTGAGTGATCCAGAGCAGCACAGGGGTGAATCTTAAGCTTTCAGATAAGACCCTCATCTTCAGTTGGCACAAATTACTGCTGTTGACATCTACCAAGATGTCTATGTATTATAACAATCGACTTTTAACCCTGACATTATTATTATTCCCTTGGCCAACACACCATGGTTTCATACACCAAAATTCTCAGCCTGTTTTATTACAGGCTTGTAGTTATTGCAGAGTATAGACACTATGATTGACAGGCACCAAAACTTATGTTTTCTGAATTAGTAACAGTGGTTGCCCCTTCCACAGATGTTTGCCACAGGTGCACTGCCTCTACTTGGGAGTTATGATTTTTTTCCCCAGTTATTCTGAACATCTCACACTCTTGTGTCAGACATTGGTTAGTTGTTGGCCAGCCAAAGGAAATCCTTAGAATTTTCTAATGCTTGTTTTTTAGGGCAACAGATATGTTCTTTTACTGTCCTTACAGTTCCCTACAGTTTGCATACTCCTTGCTAGTTTCTTTCCTGAGAACCCAGGAATCAAATCAGAAAGGACTCTGACTCAGGACAACATAAACAGTGTGGCTTTAAACTTTTATTTTAATTTCTGAAATTAATCAATTTTCTTTTATCCATAAGTCGATTGAATCTTTGAGTCTGAAACACACTTAGAAAGTTCTGAGAATTTCCTAAGGGTGATACATAAAAACATGTAAAATTAGGAAAGTTGGCTTACATTTATTTCAGCAATGTTGTGAGACAATGGTTTACCATTTCTTTTTTTTTTTTTTTTTTTTTTTTTTTTCCTAGCTCCGAGTCTTCAAATTGGCCAAGTCCTGGCCCACCCTGAACATGCTGATCAAGATCATCGGGAATTCCGTTGGTGCCCTGGGCAACCTGACCCTGGTGCTAGCCATCATCGTCTTCATCTTTGCTGTGGTGGGGATGCAGCTCTTTGGGAAGAGCTACAAAGAGTGTGTCTGTAAGATCAACCAGGACTGCGAGCTGCCACGCTGGCACATGCATGACTTCTTCCACTCCTTCCTCATCGTCTTCCGAGTGCTGTGTGGGGAGTGGATCGAGACTATGTGGGACTGCATGGAAGTGGCCGGCCAGGCCATGTGCCTCATTGTCTTTATGATGGTCATGGTCATTGGCAACTTGGTGGTTAGTACCAATTTGAACCTGTAGTTGTCCTTTGCCCTAGGCAGCTTGGCTTCTTTACCTTCTCTGTTGAACTCTTTCTTGAGTTCGGCTTTAAGATACAAATGAAGAGATGACTGTTTATTATTGTAGTGCCTACTGACTTGTGACACACTAGTATTTGGTAACCCTTGGTCATGAGGGAACAAAGAAATATCCTCCTCCAAGGTCACATAGCTGATAGACTTCAGTGGTTTTGTCTGTCTGTCCTTCCAATTGCAAAAAGTTTCCTTTTTCTAGAACAATCAGCATTTGTTCACCTTGGCACAATTGAAATCTCAGGCTGCATACTTTTCTGTGGCCTGTTGCACTGTTGAACTTACCACCATCCCCAGCCTCTACTCGCTGGATGCCAGAAGCAACTTCCATTTCAATGACCAAAAAAAAAAAAAAAAAAGAGCCCGAAGTTATTGCCATATGTTCGCTGGGTGTGTTGTGCACACTGCAGCTCGAAAAGCAGCTCACACAATCCCTGTAACCTCAGACACTGCAGTTCTTCTCCCTTTTCTTCCGTAAGAAGTTTGCCTGCAGTGGACACATTCCTTGGAACCAGCCCTGGCTCTCCCATAATAAAAACAGTTGTCGCAAGCTTCTGAAGTCCCTGACAATCTCCACCAATCACCATTCTCTAGGTCCTGGTCCTCTAGCACCTGCCTTCTATATATTTGTTTCTTCACATATCTCTACACTGTGGCTTTCTTGACTTTATCTCTGGGCTGCATCTTTGCATTTCTGTAGTTTATCCAGTATTGCTAGAAGTGTGACCTAAAAGCTACCTACATCATAATCACACAGGTTTATTCATTTAAACACCAAAAAAGGTAATATATTGGGCGTATATGTACAAATATGAAAGTATAAAAGAGCCAAGGAAAGGGCAAAAATTCCTTATATTAAAACCAAAAGAAATCCCCATCTGGTGACATGAACATCTAAAATACCGTGTGGAAGTTCTGGACACAGAGTACTAGTATAGTGCTGGCCCCGCATGCACAAGGTAATGCATTCATTCATAGAGCAACAAATAAACAGAATGAGCTAGGATAAGAACCAAACAGAGCACAACAGAAACTCCGTAGTCGATGTGGCGCTGTTGGCTTTGTAGCCCTGACTAGAATGGATAACTTCTAATTTCACCATTGCTCCTTTTTCTGCTGCCACTGGCATAGGTGCTGAACCTATTTCTGGCCTTGCTTCTGAGCTCCTTCAGTGCAGACAACCTTGCAGCCACAGATGATGACGGGGAGATGAACAACCTGCAGATCTCCGTCATCCGAATCAAGAAGGGTGTGGCTTGGACCAAAGTGAAAGTGCATGCCTTCATGCAGGCGCATTTTAAGCAACGGGAGGCAGATGAGGTAAAACCTCTGGATGAACTGTATGAAAAGAAGGCCAACTGCATTGCCAACCACACAGGTGTGGATATCCACCGCAACGGCGACTTCCAGAAGAATGGCAATGGCACCACCAGTGGCATCGGTAGCAGTGTGGAGAAGTACATCATTGATGAGGACCACATGTCCTTCATCAACAACCCAAACTTGACTGTTCGAGTGCCCATTGCTGTGGGCGAGTCTGATTTTGAGAACCTCAACACCGAGGATGTTAGCAGCGAGTCAGACCCTGAAGGCAGCAAAGATGTAAGGTCCCAACCAAGAAAGCCACCCCTATTGTGTGTGAGAACCAGTGGGGCACCAGCCCCAAAGACTGGCTCAGCTATGGCTTAATGAAGAGATTCTGCAATAGGCACTATACCATGGGAGCCAGCCCCAGAGTCATGGCTTCCCAGGCTAAGCCTGAGTTAGTTACATGGCTTCTGGAGCACCTGGATCAGAGGCTGGAGTAAACCCTTTAGTTTGTCCCTGCTCTTTGTCCACTTGACCTGTAACCTAGAGACCCACACAGGGTCCTATGGCTGGTGCCTGTCTGTATATGACCCCAGGCAGAGGTGGTACAGATCAAGGGCATGTGTTCCTATGCAGCTTCTTGACTATCCTTTTCTTTTGTGTCTAGAAACTGGATGACACCAGCTCCTCTGAGGGAAGCACCATTGATATCAAGCCTGAAGTGGAAGAGGTCCCTGTGGAGCAGCCTGAGGAATACTTGGATCCAGACGCCTGCTTCACAGAGGGTGAAAAGCGGGCAGAGAAGGGCTGGCACGAAACCCGCATGCCATTTGGTTACATCCGTGCAGGGGTTGGGGGCGCTAGAGCCGGCCACCATTTCGATGAGGGAGTTTTGTGTCATTTCCCTTATCAGCTCTGACACATGAGTTTCCAGTCTCTAGTTTATCTTGCCTGTTTTTTCTTGGCACTGCTGCACAGTGTGCCTGCCTCCTGCCAACCCTCTTCCTGCCCTCTTCCTGATTCCTGAGGCCTTGCCCTGTCATTACCTTTTCAGCACAACCTTAGCAATGCTGCTGTGTTCAGCTACTGCCCTCTCTACTGCCTAGTAGAAGCCTGGAAAGGGACAAGTCAGGCCACACAAGCGTCCGGTCTGACCTGGCTCTCCCATTGATGCCAGGTTGTGTCCAGCGGTTCAAGTGCTGCCAGGTCAACATTGAGGAAGGGCTAGGCAAGTCCTGGTGGATCCTTCGGAAAACCTGCTTCCTCATTGTAGAGCACAACTGGTTTGAGACCTTCATCATCTTCATGATTCTGCTCAGCAGTGGCGCCCTGGTGAGATTCAGGGAAGAATGGCTAGTGGCTGGTGGGGGAAGGGCACAGAGACAGTCACAGCAGGAAGAGGCTGGGCATGGGTCCTGCCCAGTGTCTTTGAAAGGATGAATTGGCTGGAGTCCTAATAGGAGGCTGTTAAAGTGCTTTGAGCTGGTGTGGAGCCTTTGAGGCTGGAATCACCCTTCTTCACATTCTGATCTTAAGACTAGGCATGACCCCTGCTCAAGCCTGTGATGCTCTTTTCATGGGGATGAAGATATTCCTGTCACTGCCTGCTTTGCCCTCCCCTAAACAGACTCCCGAAATGATCATCCTTCTTAGCACCTGTTTCCTAAGGGATGTGGTTCTCCATCCGCTCCCTGGAAACCCATAACAGTAGCGTGTGTTCAGAGATCCAGTTCTGCTGTATCCTCAGTGCTCAGCAGCAGTAGGTAGCCTGCAGGATGGAGCACAGATTCCTCCCTCATTGTGCTCCCCACGGTGCTCATCATCTTGACATTCACTCTCATGGTTAGCTGGCTGGCCACAGAGGACCCATGGACAGAGACTAATGTAAGGGAGTCAGCTGCTGGCTGAGTGGGTGTGAGGACAGAGGGGCTAGAGACACTGTACATTTTCCTTTTCATTTGTGAAAAATACAGGATTTTGAAGGGTTTTTATTTTATTTTTTGAAAATTGTAAGCATTTATTTATGGAGAAATGCCGTAGCATATATGTGGAGGTCAGAGGACAACATACAAGCGTAAGTTCTCTCTTTACACCATGGTCCCCAAGATTGAACTCAGGTCATCAGGCTTGGTGGCAAGTGCCTTTACCTGCTGAACCATCTCACTGGCCCCCTTGAAATGTTTTTACAGAAGGTAGGCATATTCATGTCAGTGAAAAATTAAAGTTTAATCTGGAATTAAAAGAGTAGGGGGAAGATCTCAAAATCAGTGTTAAAGAACTCAGTAATTTGAGCAGTTTCATTGGCTTGCCAGATAAAAGACTAAGAAACTGAGAAGGGCAATAATGTGTGGAAACCACGGCCCAAGGAAAAGCTAGTGAGGGTAGAGAGGAAGGTTTGTGAAGGAGGGCTTCAGGGTTAAAGCTGGAGACCTAAAAGACGGCAGGATAGACACTGACCTGCCAGATGGGGAGCCAGACTATCCCACCTGCTCTGGGTCACCTGTGGCACAGTGACTCAGGCTGTTCTTCCTGAGGTGCTGTGGAGGAACCCGGTGGGAGTAGCAAGTCCTCTGCCAGACTATAGTGGGAGAATGAGGATGGCGTTCATCATGGTCTCCACACAGAGTGAAGAGGCAGTGGCCAAAGGTTTTGTGCGTTCTTTACCATTTGCCATTAGCAATTTCATCCATCACAGAGGGCCAAGAGAGTGACTATTGGCTTAGTGCAAGACCCTGTGCAGTTAGCAGATGCGTGCCTGGTAGCCCATGCCTTTAGTGCAGCACCCAGCAAACAAAGGCAGGTGGATTTCTGTGAGTTTAGGGCAGGCCTGCTCTACAGAGTGAGTTCCGGACTAGTCAGGGTGCCATAGTGAGACCTGCTGAGTGAACTGGCTCTCAGTGGGTCAGAGAAACCGGAGAGGCATAGCTTTAGTGAAACTATAAGTACAAACATACAGGAGACTTTCAGGTGCAAGGGGGGCAAAGATTAATTCTTCATTTTATTTTTCTGCTGCTGCTTGTTCTGATCTCTCTCTCTGATCTGTCCTTCTACCATTTTCCTCCTCCTTTTTCCCTGTTGTTCCCCTTCTATATTTATTATTTTTCTCTTACCCCTTTTATACCCCCTAAGACAAAAATTTCTAGGCAAGAAAAATTACCTCATAACCACAAGTTACATAGTTTCCAAAAAAAAAACAAACTAAAATCTTTGCATAAGAAGAAATTACATTATGATCACAAGTTAAGCAAGCCACATGTGTTTCAGCCAGTTCCTTTGTACTAGCAGGTAGCTATTTGCAGTTTCAGTGTAGCAGATTCCGATCTTATTTCTACACTACAAAAGTTTAGACAAGTGGTCAACTAACCATCTGTATTTCTGTACACACAATAGGCTCATTTAATTTCCTTTCACAATTTTGTTTTTGCAAGGTGCATACTGAAACCTGCAGTTAATTTTGTAAGCTACAAGACCAAGGAACTCAGGCCTAACCTTGGGTGTGGGGACATAATTGCTTTCTTTGATCATCAGCCTGTTTTTCTATAGGCAAAATTCATGGATCTGTAATGAATGAAACTTACTTGTTCTTATTTTCCATCCTCTGAAAATCTCATATCTAACAAAGGAGAAGGTAACTTCTAGCCTATTTTTGCCTTATTTGTAACTTCTATTGGAGCAATTGGCAAAAAACCCAAACCATTTCCCTAATCATCTTCACTAACTGCCTTAGTCACTGTGTCTTTTAGGTTAACTCAGAAAATCCAATTACATCATTGATTGAACTAAGTATCATTGCTCTTATAAAAATCATCTTCATTGTCTGCAAGTAAATTGCCCAGTGAGGATGGGATTTTCCCATGAAATAATCATACTATACTAGATACATTGGGACCCTTTCTTAGAGTAATCACACCATACCAAATACAACAGAAACACAGCAGCAACAAGCAGGAGGAAACACAGCAGAAGCAAGGGACATTTTGGAAACAGTCCCCCTGGGGCTTTGCCTCTCCAGAATTTACCCATTGTAGCTTTTCTGTCTGGTGGGGTGTATTCCATAAGTTCCATTGCTGACTACAGCTCCTCTGACATGACCACCAGCAGAGACCCAGTCTCAAAGAAAGAAGAGGAAGGAAGGAAGGAAGGAAGGAAGGAAGGAAGGAAGGAAGGCTGGCTGCTATAGCATCAAAGGAAAGACTAGACTAGAGCTACAGTGACAGGAGACCATTTGTGGACATCTCATCTTCACTTACAGAATAATTTTCTAACCAATGCTCTGCCTTAAGGGGAAGCCGTTGCTGTTTTTCATGAAATAAAGAGAATTCACTTGTGCCAAGACCATGAGAAGGATCTCAGGTCCCATGACGCCCATCTCCCCTGCCCATTCATGAAGTGGGTGGCAATCTGATGTTTGTGTGTCTCCATACCAGGGCCCTGCACGTGCTAATTAGGCACACTACCAATGAGCTACATCCCCAGCCCTCCCATTTCAGAAGATGGCCTTGTTCTCTCCTTTTGTAACTGGTCAAAGCAGGGCTTCTCGTAGCATCACAGGGACTTGCCTCCACCTCCACAAAGCTTCCCTCATTTCAGGCATTTCCTCCTGCATTAGGTACTTTTTATGTCACTGGGACAAAACACTTAATAGAAGAATTCACTCTGGATCTTCTTGTCAGAAGGGTTAGTTGTGGTCGTTGGGCTCCTTGTTTCTGAGACTGTGGAGGCAGAATGCCATGGCAGCAGGAGGGGACACAGTTCACCTCATTATGGACATGAAGCAGGAGAAGGGATCAGGGCCAAATAACATCCCTGCCTTAGTTAAGAGTTCTGTGAAGAGATACCATGACCACAGCAACTCTTAGAAAGAAAACACTTAGCCAGGGTGGCTCAGTCACAGTTTCAGAGGTTTAGCCCATTGTCATCATGGCGGAGAGCATGGCAGCATGCGTACCCACTCCAACAAAGCCACACCTAACAGTGCCATTCCCTGTGAGCTTATGGGGGCAAGTTATATACAAACCGCCACAATCCCAAGCTCCCAGGAGCTGCTTTATTCAACCGAGCAGGAAACTACGACCTCCCAGTAATTCATTCAGATTTTGCACCCACCAATGGATTCAACCATCCCTTTGGTCTCCTCAGGAACTGCTCTCACTGACACACCTAGAAGTGGGCCTCTCTGCTCCCAGTCACAATTAACCATCATACCTCCCCTTCGCACCACAACCATATAGTCCACCATTGCGCAAAAGGAGAGACTACCTTGTTCATGGGTTCCATAGAAAATAGCAGTGTGGTTTTCAGCATTCAAGACTGTCCCACCCTTGGGGCCCTCTACCCATGTCTGTGGCATCAAGGAACTAAAAGGAGAAAAAATCTTGTCATGTCTGATAAACAGTGTGGGCAAGGTTGTGAGTAACTGGAATACTCACACCCCTCTGGTGAGTGTGAAATGGCTCAGCTACTGTGGAAAACAGTTGCCAGTTCCTCAAAAATGTTATGGTGTTACCAGCAAATTCTACTCTTAATCGTATGCCCTAAACAAATGGAAACATGGCCAGATCCCAGCACTTAGGGTGGCAGAGGATTTGGATCTCAGAGAGGGGGGCGCGCGGGGGGAAACATACTGTCTCACACTAGCTTAAAAATGGAAACAGCCCAAGTATCCATCAACTAAGGATGGATAAATAAAATGTGGTCTGTCCCTGCCTTACATTCATGGTCCTCCATGAAAATTTGAGGGGTGTGTGGGTGTGTGTATACATACATACATACATACATACATACATACATACATACAATACAGTGTGGAAACACTGAGAACTTTGTGCTTAGTTAAGGAGCCAGACATAGGGGTTGAAGAGATGGCTCAGCTGTTAAGTATGCATACAGCTTCCAGAGGACCTGAGTTCAATTCCTAGCACCCACATCAGATGGTCCACAACTGCCTGTAACTCCAATAGCAGACGATCCAGCACCTCTAGCTTCCATGGGCACCTCCATTCATGTGCACATAGCCATGTCCAAACAGGCACACACACACACACGCACACACACACACCACACACACACACACACACACACACACACACACACACACAGACACGTGGTCAAAAAGACAATTAATAATTTTTCAAAAGAAGCACCCAGGCTGTCTGGGTGGTGATGGTGCACACCTTTAGTCCCAGCATTCAGGGAAGCAGAGGTAGGTGAATCTCTGAGTTCAAGGCCAGCCTGATCTACAGAGTAAGTTACAGGACAGCCAGGGCTATACAGAGAAACTCTGTCTTGAAAACAAAAAGAGAGAAAGAAAGAAAGAAAGAAAGAAAGAAAGAAAGAAAGAAAGAAAGAAAGAAAGAAAGAGAAAAGAAAAAGAAGCAGCCAGGTTTCTTTGGATATATTAGATCATCTCATTTCTGTGAGATGTCCAGAAAGAGCAGATGACTATACCTAAGTCCAACAGGATGTGGTGCAGAAGGGTGACAGCTGGAAGATGTTGAAGTTCTTTTCGTGGATAATGAAAATGTTACAAAGTGCTGTGATGGTTGCTTATCCTAAAAGCCATTGAATTATACACTTAAAGAGTTGAGTTTTATGGGATGCAAATTATTTCTGTATAAAACTGCCCTGGGAACTCAGTGGTGACCCTGCATACCCAGGGCCCTGGACTCTGTCCCCAGCATCACTAACTAAACCAGTAAATAAGCAAAGGGGGAAACTTGAAGAGGTGCCATGGTAGCGCACTCCTGCTGGTTAGGCAGCTGTTGCCTTTCTTCCAGGCCTTTGAGGACATCTACATCGAGCAGAGGAAGACCATCCGTACCATCCTGGAGTACGCAGACAAGGTCTTCACCTACATCTTCATCCTGGAGATGTTACTCAAATGGACGGCCTATGGCTTCGTCAAGTTCTTCACCAACGCCTGGTGCTGGCTCGACTTCCTCATTGTGGCTGTAGGTGTCCTGTTTTCCATTTCTCACCCTTTCTAGCAGGAGCTGGGGCTACCTGGGCTAGGTTAGCAATCAGCACGTAGCTGTGGGCTAGAGCGAAAGCCCTCTTATGGCAGTCAGATCTTATTTGGAGAGTGGGACCTCTGAAGACCCTGCATTGTCTCAGAGGCTGTCCTGGTCTTCACACCACTGGGCCTGGCTTATTTAGAGTGAGAGAGTCCCCTGTCTTTAGCCTGGACACCAGAAGGTTCTTGATCCCAGGCAGCAGGACACCCCCTTTCTGCAACTGGGATGGGATTCTGAGATGAGGTGGGGTTTGGGGATGGAGTGGGTGTGGGGATGAGTGTGGTATGGAAATGAGGGGAGATGCTGGGGTGGGGCACAGTCTGTTATTCATGTCCATGCCCGTGGATATTTCCCAGATGTGCCAATCAAGTCCCTTTTCCTGGGAAGAAGGGCCTGTGGTGTTGCCGTTCCTGCTGTGATCACCAAATGAAAACTTTTACCTCCAGGCTGTCTGCCCTGTCCAAGGCTTCAGGGCTGCGAGCTGCCATGTTGTGTTTTCAGACTTTCTCACTCCACCAGCACGTCTTTCTTCCTCCACCTCACTAACAATGACCGACTTCCTCTTTCTGTAGTAACTAAGACTTTTCTCTTGCAGCCTTTAAAGAAAGAGTGCATGGGGATCACAGGACCAGGGCTGTGGAGAATTTACCTGGGGCTGAGAAGGGCTGCAAAGATGGAGGGTCTGGAGGCCGGAGACTGGGTGGGCGTGTTTAGAAGAGGCTTCGTGGGCTGTGTGGCAAACTGCCTGTGGGACCTAGGGCAAATCAGTTGGAAAATCTTTCTCGCTCGTCTAACAGGAGCCCAGGACTCTGCCCTAGCAATGACTTCCGCTTTAAAAACACAGTCCCTTCAAAGTTAGTGATTACTTTGAGAGCTGTCCTTGTGCTCGTCCTCTGCTGGCTGTATTAGTCAGAGTTCTCTAGAGGAACAGGACTTACAGCATGAATCTCTATGTATACAGAAAGGGGATTTATTAGAATAACTTGTAGGCCGCAGTCCATCTAGTCCAACAATGGCTGTCTATGAATAGAAGGTCCAAGAATGCCATCATTGTTCAGTCCATAACCCAGCTGGTCTTCAGTATATGCCAGAATCCCAAAGAAGTATACTCCATTGCCAGTGAAGGAATAGACTGGCTAGCCAGGTGAGAGCAAGCAGGCCAATAGCAAAACTTCCTTTTTTCCAAGTCTTTCTCTAGGCTTCCTGCAGAATGTGTGGCCCAGATGAGAGGTGGGTCTTCCTGCCTCAAAGATCCAGATTAGAGTGGATCTTCCTACTTCAAATTAAGCAGAAATGCCTCACAAGTGTGCCTCTCCATTTCAGGGTGTTAGTTAATGCCCGCTGTAGTCAAGTTGACAACCAAGAACAGCCATCACACTAGTCTTTGGGAAGATATGCAAATGAGGTGAAGAGGCTAGCCTGCAACCTTAAAGTAAGCCAAGTAGGCCTGGCCCCAGGGAAGTAGGCATGTCCTTGCATTAATAGATCTGGACACTTAAGCAGCTATGGTTTCCAACTTGTGGGGAAGAATATAGATAGGATCTACCTGAAGCTAGGCTGGCTCTCATCCTAGGGAAATGCACAGTAGCTCTCCATGGTACCTGCACTCAGGAAGATGCCCACAAAGCCCTTCCTCTCTTGGATTCACTGAGGACTCAGACGGATAGGTCCACTACCATGCTCTAGCTACCCGCAAGAACTGTGCCATAGAACAAAGTTTCCCTTTTCCTTCATGATCAACCCCAACTTGAACCAGTTCCTCCTTGGGCTGAGCAACCTCGGATTAAAGGATGTGGTCAGTTATGCCACACCTGTGGTCAAGTGAGCTACTAAGCACATTCACCTACAGATGGCCACTTATCTATTAAGTATTGTTTTTATACTAGACAGAAAGAGGGTAAGACAATAAGACAGGCATATGCTAATTGACTGTAGCCCATCAGTTCCTTTAGCTTCTGGAATTACTGGACTATTATACTGCTGTGTCCTCACATTGGCTCTGAAGACTATCCCTATGCCAGTTGTTGGTAATCAACATGAATTGAATACTGTGTTCCAACTGAATTGCCTTAATTCGTAAGAAGTCCCAGGAGGACAAATGGACACAGCCCCAGCCCTGGAGAGCTTGTTCCAGCTTCCATAGGAACTCCAACCTAGCTCTAGGCCAAGGTAACCCAGGCTGTGAGAACAGGACTCTCCTGGGAACCACACTCTTTTGACCTCTTTCCTCTGTCCATTTATTCATTTGTCCAGTGGTTATTGAATATCCATGATATGCCAAGCCTGCTCCAATGTTGTAGAGACTCTCAAACTCAGTTTCTTCTCTCTTATAGCCTAAGAAAATGAAACACACATAGAGTCACAGCCTGATGTGTGGGGATACCCTACTCAGTGATGATGGATTCATAGATTGCTACTTCTAAATTGTAGAGGATAATTCTAGCCCTCGGGAGGCAGAGGCAGGCTGATCTCTGTGAGTTCAAGGCTAGCCTGGTCTACAGAGCAACAGCCAGGGCTGTTGTTACACAGAGAAACCCTGTCTTGGGGCAGTGTGAGGGGTGGTTGTGGATGGAAAATAAGGCATTGATTGGCACCCACATAACTAGAAGTTTCTGTCCAGCCTGGTCCCGCCATCCTTCAGTCCCAAATAAACACACACAGGCTTATATTAATTATAAACTGTTTGGCCAATGGCTCAGGCTTCTTATTAGCTAGCTCTCTCTTAATTATTTTCTCATAACTATCAATCAATGTGTCTCCACATGACCTTATCTTACCGGAGAATGCCTAGATGTCCTACCTTCCCCATAGTTACGTGCCATCTCAAGTCTCACCCCCCACCCCCAAATTCTCCTAGTCAGATAGCCCCACCTATACTTCCTGCCTGGCTACATTGTGCCTGTCCATTGGCCAAAATAGCTTTATTCATCAACCAATAAGAGAAACATATTCACAGCATACAGAAAGACATCCCTGTCATCGTTTGCTGTTCATTGTTGGAATGGATCTCATTCTGTGGACATTGTAGAGCTTGTAGGTATAAATTTTAGGTCCTAATTTATCAACATATCTGCAACACTCTCCCATCTCATCCACTGGTGATTTTATGTTAGACTCAGTTACTCATCTCCATGCCTGCTTCCCTAGTAGATACTCATCTTCCCTTGTTGTCTCCTAAAGCTGCTATATAAGCACTGCTTTGGTAGAGCTGTGAAGAAACTCCAGACATCTTAGACCAATTCTCTTTATTAGTAAACCATGCGAATTCCCAAACAGTCATGTTTTATTTTTCTCAGGTCTTTATCTCCATTGGCTTTTATGCCCTGTAACAGAATTTTTATCATCTTTCTCCAGGGAACAGTTCCCCATTGCTTTCAGGGTTAGCGAGCACATCTGTTGGGGAATGGGAACCTCAGACTGACCTTGATCTACTGAAAACATTCTCTCCTTGGAAAGCCCTTTGGAGATGTCCTCCAGTGTCCCCTTCCTTCTGCGCCTGCATGGCCTCAACTTTGCCTCTTGAATGTTTTTTCTTTTCTCTTTTTTCTTTCTTTTTTTAGGTTTTATTCCTTTGTACACTTGACCAAATATTCTGATTATATCCTGTAGGAATTTAACCTGGAGACCCAGGAGACTGCAACAGAGAGCCTTCAGCTGCTGAGGAACATTCCAGAGGGGACCTTGCTGGTCTTGCCTTGTAGGTCTTGGCTCAGTTGGTGGCTTTAGGGACAGCCTCTTCATTGGCCTCTGTAGTCCTCTGCCCTTCCTCCCACTGTTATTAGTAAAGCTGCCACCCTTTGGAGCTGGAGTCTTCCTGCTTGGTATGGGGTCTCTAGACACTCAAAGTTTAGGTTTTTGCAATCTGTACCCACCAAACTTCACAAGGACTTTTGAGCTGAGGCACCTAGTTACTTTCAGATGTCCCCAATTAAGACCAACTGATAGTCAGGCAGTTCTAGACTACTTGGGGTTAGAGATGGATTGCAGGTTGGAGAAGTGGCTCAGCAATTAAAAGTGCTTACTGCCCTCACAGAGGACCCAATTTCAATTTCCATCACCCATGTGACCCCAGTTCCAGAGGAATGACAGATCACATCCACACATGTGCATCAACACACAGACAAACAAGTAATTTAAAAATAAATCTTTTTGTAAATTAAAGAAAATAGTTTGCTTGTCCTGGCCATAGTAGCCAAGAGACAGTGCCATGTAAATTTTTATTCATCATTATAAATAAAAGGAAAGTGATAGGTTGGCTGCTGTGTGCTAGATGGAGGTTTTGAGCCCTTGACTTGGATAAAGATTAATATTGTACCACCTTCACAGAACATGGAGAGCCTAGTAGGGTTGTGCCTCCCTTCTGCTTAGCTTTGAACACTACCTAGATCTAGACTCCATAGAAGATAACAAAACTGAGAGGTTATGAGGTTTTTGGGAAAGACAGTCACCTGTGACTATGTTTGCTTTGTTAATTTGTCATCCAATTCTCAAATGGTTTCTTGTCAACCAGGATAAGAGGGCTTGCACCTATTTTAAAATTGCATCCTTTAAGCCTACTTCCTGTTCTTTCACTTACCTTGTTTTATCCTCACTAATCTTAGTACTGAATTATAAATGTCTTCTTTAAAAAAAAATTGTAGCCAGGCTTGGTACAAATATTATACCAGCACTCAAGAGGCAGAAGCAGGCAGATCTTTGTGAATTTGAGGCCATCCTGATCTACAGAGTGGGTCCAGGACAGTCAGAGCCACAAAGAGAAACCCTGTCTTTAATAAAAAAAAATGTTTTTTTTTTTAATGTTCCTGGATATAGCTCAGTAGTAAAACATTTGCCTAGCATACACAAAGCTTGGGTTTAATCTCCAACTCCAAAACATGCAGAAAGAGGTATCTATGTGTGTGTGCTAAGGCATGCTGTAGACACAGAATTAAGACAAT